GGAGGGGGTGAAGGTGCAGGAGGGGGTGAAGGTGCAGGAGGGGGTGAAGGTGCGGGAGGGGGCGAATCGGCCCCCTAGTCGTAGCACAGCGCAAACCTGACAGCGCTCGATGAAATTTGCGGGTATCCGTAAAGTATGCTAGTCCGGCGAGATAGCATTACGAATACGATCACCTTAAATATGTCGCGTATTCGATTATTACCATCACCGCCTCGATCGCGGCGTCTTTCCGGAAAAAGTTATCCGTTTATCGTACGTGCCGTACGCGGATATGCGTATACGGCGGTGTTGGTACATGCCATATATGGTGCTTCGCTTCTGTCCACAGGTGGCGCTGTGTTACCTGATCGAGGTTTACGCGGGGATCGTGGAGCAGCTGATGTCAGCGTTGCAGGCTGAGGACGATGAAGAGAAGGAGGAGGAGCGAGAGCAGATGTTAGAGGATGACGAGGAGGAGGAGGAGGAGGAGGACGAGTCAGCAGAGCAACACGAAGATAGGGAGGAGGAGGAGGAGCAGGAGGAAGACATGGTCTCTCCCCAAAACGAGTTTCCTGCGGCAACCGGTTTCGATCCCGATAGGTAGGAGGATGCTGCATCATGGATGCTGCGCTAGATCCCGGGGGATTCCCAGCTCGGCAAGCTCTATTATCTAATTACCTTTGCTGAACGCATGAGCTGCTCAAAGGCTATCACTAGACCTACGTTAAACAGCCATAATTGATTATAAGTCCTCCCAATATATATATATATATATATATATATGTATGTATGTATATATATATTTATATATATTTATTTATTTATTTATATAGCAAACATGAATGGAAAACTACATACATATGTTTGTTTCAATATATTGATATTGTATATTTTTCTATTGCGTATTCTAGTTACGTATATTTTGATATATTGTATATTTTGATATATTGTATATTTACCTATATCTTTCGACATTGTACATGTGCATATATTTTTTCTATATTGCATATTTGCGTATATATTTTTCTACATTGTCCCTGTGTGTATATATTTCTGTATTGTATATTTGCCTATATTTTTCTACATTGTATATTTGCGTATATTTTTCTACATTGTATATTTGCCTATATTTTTCTACATTGTTATATTTGCGTATATTTTTCTACATTGTATATTTGCATATATTTTTCTACATTGTATATTTGCGTATATTTTTCTACATTGTATATTTGCGTATATTTTTCTACATTGTATATTTGCGTATATTTTTCTACATTGTATATCTGCAAATGTTGTTGCATGGCTACCCATCACCAACGTCTGTCATCATCATCATCATCACCATCGTCTGTCATCAATCATCATCATCACCATCGTCTGTCATCATCATCATCATCACCAACGTCTGTCATCAATCATCATCATCACCAACGTCTGTCATCAGTCATCATCATCACCAACATCTGTCATCATCATCACCATCGTCTGTCATCATCATCACCATCGTCTGTCATCATCATCATCAACGTCTGTCATCAGTCATCATCATCGCCATCGCCAACGTCTGTCATCAGTCATCATCATCACCATCGTCTGTTGTCTGTCATCTGCAGCCCGCGTCCGGCGAGCGGCGAGGCTGCCGACCTATCAACGATGGAGCTGATAGAACTCGGCGTGGAGCAACGCGACGGGGACGACCCGGGGGCGGCGACCACGCCCCGCGACGACACCCAGGAGCTCATCCTGCTGGGCGTGACCCGCGACCCCTCGGGGTCGGAGGTCGGTGCGGGGTCAGAGGTCAGCGGCGCGGGGTCGCGCGTCGACAGCGGGCACGACGGCGATGCGGGGTCGGGGGTCGCGGCGCGGGATCGTCCGGCGTCGAGCGACGAGCGCGTGGGACGGGCGCAGCTGTCCTCCAAGTCACGGGTGAGTGATGCGTCACTTGTTTTGTTTTGGGGGGGGGGAGCTAAGACCGTTGTTATAATCTGAGTTATTATCTTGGTTATAATCACGGGCGAGTGATGCGCCGGTGGCTGTCGCTTCGTTTGATGTTGTTTTTTTGTGAAAACTGTCGTGAGAATCAGTGTGGGAAGTCCGTGTCTCTAGGTCCTCAGCCAAAAGCCCCCAGGTTTTAGCCCGACAAGCTTAGAATCCTTAGACAGAACCTTAATACACTGCGTATGCAAAACTCTTAACGTTAAGACTAATGTTAAGACTAATTTAGTTTTCTGATGACGGGACCGCTTTAACTTTTATATATTATGTATATGAATATATTTTTTATATAAATATTGTATAATATTTGTTCATTAACCTTTATGGCGGGACCGTAGGACTCTGCGCTGTCGTCGCCTCCGCTGTCCCAGGACGTTCCACCGATGACTCCCCACCAGCGAGGGGAAGCCCCGCCGCTCGGGGAGTTCGGGGACATCGGGGAGGGCCGGCAGGCACCGGAACGGCCGGGAGGGAGGAGGAGGAGCGACGAGAAGGAGGAGGGGTTGGAGACGCGAGGGAAAGCTTCGAACACGTTCACGCACCACGTGTTTCACCACACAGGTGCGCGATCAGGTGCATTGTGTTCAGTGATCAGAAATTATGCATGTGCTTGTTGTCCATTGGCTGATGGTGGCGTGAGCAGAACACGTGATAAAAAACAATTGCGTTGATTGGTTCAACTGTCTTTCTCCGTACACGGCAGCCGGCAAAAGTCAAACTCATTTGACTTTCGCCGTCGCCGTGAAACCGGGCTGGCGCCGTGCCGTGTCAGTGGAGACTGCGCCATAAGATATAATAAATTTGAACTTTGCCAGTAGGGGTGAACGACGCCGTTTCCGTGGCGTTCTGTGCCGCGCCGCGTGTGTGGAGACGGGCCTTTACAATGTCTCATCTCGTTGTCATCGTCGTCTCTGGTGAACGTCTTCGCTCGCTCTCACTAGCATTTCCTCTCGTTTGACTTCAGAGCCGCCTAAAGAGCAAGCGCACCAAGAGGTTCAGGTTCCCACTCCCGCCGCCGCCGCAGCTAGGGGGCAGCACGCGGCGCGCGACGACAGACGGGGCGAGAGTTCCCGCAGCGGCAGCGACTACGACGCGTCGTCGAACAGCGCGAAGCGAGACTCCGACAGAGACAGGAGGAGCGGGAGAGCCGGGAAGAACGGCCAGCCGACGAGGGATTCGACTCTCGCTTCGCTCGGCGGCAGGACCATGCACCGGCAGCGCGCTCAGGACGTCAGCGATTCCTCGATCGGCCACCCTTCCGCGATCAACAAGGCGACTGCTGCGATGTCGCGAAGCAGCGTCTCCGAAGCCAGACCGGCGCCCGGGACGGCGCCGGACGCGGTGTTCGTGAGGCCCAGCCACCGCGCCGGCGAGTCGTCCACCCGGCCCTACCTCAACTACGAGATCAAGTACAACACGGTGCCGTTCCCGACGGGCGACCGCGGCGAATCCACCGCCACGCAGCGACGTTCCGCGAACAACGCAGAAGAACGCGCGGCGGCGGCGGCGAAGGGGGAAGGTCGCGACGCGGGTTCTAGTCAGCACAGAACTGAGAAGTTACCCGACGACTCGACCGAACGCGATGTCGGACGCGCGGAGTCGTCGAGAGCGACTCGCGAGCCGGCCGCGCGGAAGGACGCCGGGCGAACGGGGCGTGGCGGGGAGCCGCCGGGAGACGAAGGCATCATCTACGCCACCAGGGAGCACGACGCGCCGATGCCGTCGCGCGGCGGCGGAGGTGGCGGCGGTCGCCGCGGCAACGGGAAGCCATACGAGAAGATACTGGACGACGTGGAGAAGTCTCTGCAGCTGTCGCAGCGGCTGCTGGATCCGATACCGATACACAGCGAACATCTCATGATCAGCCCGCTGAGACAGAGCGAATACGTCGACCTGTAAGCACGCTCTCTTGTCTCTCTGTCGTCCGGTCGGCATTCTCAGTTTTTGGTGAACTAGGCACTATATTACTTTGTAATGTTGTTAGTATGTAGTTAGGGTAGTAAGTTGTTTTTTTTAATCTGCGCTTTGATTAAATCTATGGTGGAATGTTCGGTTTTGTTTCCTCTTCGCAAACCTAATCGTGTTAAACTTGCAGGCGAATAGGAGGAAATGAGGAAGACGACGGTGCCGATGATGGTGATGATGTCCACGCGACCCATAAGTCAAAAAAGCTACCTCAGGCTTCACGTAAGAGCGACAGGGACGGGTACAAGGTAAGCGCCTAGAGTTATGAGCAGTCGTGTTGCATTTTCACTGTTTCTGCCAAAAAGAGTAGTTCTGGAAAAAATCCACAGGCCTAAATGCATTTGTTTCAACCTCTCTCCTGCCCTCTCTCTCCTTCTTTACCTCCCTTTTTGTCTCTCTCTCTCTCTCTCTCTCACTCTCTCTCTCTCTCGCTCTCTCTTTCACTCTATTTTTCTGTCTCTCGCTCTCACTCTCTCTTTCCCTCTCTCTTTCACTCTCTTTCTCCCTCTCTCTCTCTCACTCACTCTCTCTCGCTCGCTCTCTCTTTCACTCTATTTTTCTCTCTCTCGCTCTCACTCTCTCTTTCACTCTCTTTCTCCCTCTCTCTCTCATTCTCCCCTCACTCTCCCTCTCTCCCCTCTCTCTCTCATTCTCCCCTCACTCTCCCTCTCTCCCCTCTCTCTCTATATCTCTATCTCTACCTCCATCTCTTACTCATTCAGCTTGAAACGCAGAAGCGAAGCATGAAGCGTAAGATCGCGTCAGCTCCCCCGCCAAAACTAATGCAGCCAAGCAGCACCATCGACCCGTTCAAGCGACCAATCGGCCGACCGCGAGCGACACGCAGGCAGGTCAGCGGCCCCAGCAATCACCAGAGGTCAGCGGCTCTGATAAGCATGGCGAGATCCATGGTGACGGCAACATCCCAGAGGTCGCGAGATGTCACAAGGTCGTCCGCGACCGGGAAAGGTCACGACAGGTGAGGGATGACAAGAATGCCGTGCTTGCTAAGATTCACTTGCTACATATGTACTATATATGTGTGTATATATATGTATACACCTATGTATATATATATAGGGTGCGAAATTAGCGTGAGTCTGGAGTCAAATACTCCCCGATTTACTTTCGGACTCCCTGATTTCACATATGCAGGAGTCCGTGTGACTCCCTGAAAATTCTGCTATACTAACTAGTTCGTTTCAGAGCAGGGCCCCACGGAGTTACCGTATTTTTTCAGCAATGTCCAAAGAAAATTTGGCAGATGTGCAACTGCATGAATCTTCAAAAGAGCACATGCGTTATTGTTAATATCT